CACGCCCCTTCAGGAGCAGACTGCTCCAGAGTGGGTCCCCCACAGGGTCACAAGTCCTGCCAGCAAACCTGCTCTGGCGTGGGCTCCTCTCTCTATGGGTCCACAGGTCCTGCCAGGAGCTTGCTCCAGCACGGGGTCACAGCCTCCTTCAGGTGCCTCCACCTGCTCCGGCATGGGGTCCTCCACGGGCTACAGATGGAGTCTCTACACCCCCTCATCCTTCCTCCATGGGCTGCAGGGGGACAGCCTGCTTCACCATGGTCTGCAGAGGAATCTCTGCTCCGGCACCTGGAGCACCTCCTCCCCCTCTTTCTGCACTGACCTGGGTGTCTGCAAAATTTCCTCACATCTTCTCACTTCTCTCTCCGGCTGCCAAAGCTCTCCCTAAGCTGGTTTTTTCCCTTCTTAAATATGTTATCACAGAGGTGCTAATTGGCTTGGCCTTGGCCAGCGGGGGGGCCATCTTGGAGCCGTCTGGCATTGGCTCTGTCAGACACAGGGGAAGCTTCTAGCAGCTTCTCACAGAAGCCACCCCTGTAGCCTCCCCCCGCTACCAAAACCTTGCCACACAAACCCAATACATGTGTGTATTTCAAAGGTTCCTCACTGGGACAGGAGCCCTAGGGAGAGGCTGGAAATGGAACCCAGTTTATCACAGTAGCACAGTGACCTATGTATCCCAAGAAAAAAATGAGCCTGGAATTGATTGAATCCTTACCTTTTTCTAAGGGTAAGAGAAATCTAACATCCTTTGAGAAGAACATAAATAAAATGCTAAACTAAACTTAAAAAAAAAAAAAATCACACTTGCCATATGTCATGGTTAGTGTGTTTTTAAGGCAAGATTCATGTTATCCAAAAGTAGGTATCTAAACCAGATGACATAAAAATAATACTTTTTTTTTTAAATGGTATTTATTTCTCACCACTGACTATGCAAGGAGCTGTGGATGAATAGCTGAGATGCTGTGCTTTATGGTAAATATGCTTAAAAGTGAAAATAATCTTGTCTAGTGTGTTATTTTGATTTTTATGAAAACAAATATTGCAAAAGGCAAAGCTTATGCCTTGGATTATGGGAGTTCTTTTGTATAATGTTGTAGATAATAGTCTATAGGCACCTTGCAAATAGGTGATATTCTTTTGAACTTACTAAAGTATTGATGTCTTTAGTGACAATTTTTAGAGGAAAAATGTATTGCATAAAAATATTCTTCCTTTTAAAATGGATTTTTGGGCCTCCAGAACTACAAAGAATACAAAATGTCTAGGACTCTGCCAGGAATCAGTGCCTAAGGTGATAAAAAGCACAGTAACTATCCATGCTTTTGGAGTTTATTACTAGATGACTTAATTTTTTGAGGTGTAACAATGTGAAACATTTAAACCAATTTATGATAAAATAACAACTGCTTTTAGAATTGGTTGCTCATATATTTAATTTCCTTTCTTATCCTTTGAGAATTTGATCAGATTAACTTTATGAACAGAAGTCAACCATCAGATTTGTGTGTGAAACTCCAGGGCTGTGTTCTTCTGTGCTACAGACTATGAAGATAAAGAAATGATTCCTTCTCAGAAAGCATATTAATGTACAACAATTTCCCAGAAACTCTTTTAAAGGCCCTTGAGATCTCACACTTACCTGGAATAGGGCAGTACTGGGTTCCGGCCTTTGCCTTCATCACTGATAATCTATTTAATGTTAGTCACTGAACAAAACCCAGAAATAATCTAACGAGCACAACACCCATCTCAGGCATTTTCTCTTGCACATGATTATACCTCTCCTGCGTGATTTACAATAACCCATACTCCCCTCTGTAAAAAGGCCCAAGTTCGTGGAAAGGTAAAAAATGTCTGTTTTCCATCCTATATTATAGCTGGTTAGTCACAGTGCTTCTTACAAATGTCTTTAGAAAGTCTTCCAGGAAACGCTAAGCTCCAGCTATGCAAGTCAATAGGAAGAAAATCATTGCTCCCCACAGCTGAGTTTTTCACGCAGAAGCCATGCGGATGGCTCGTGACTGGTACTCTCAAATGTGCCCTAACCTCCCCAAAGCAGGATAGTGTCTGAAAGCTTTCCTCAGTCCAAAATAAAAAATGGTTGTTAACAGAAACACGACCTCCTGGAAATGGAAATCAGAAAATAATACACAATTTACAAATTGATACAGAAGTGTCCAACTTGGCTATATAGCCTCTCTGCAATTCTCAGTTCCATTTTCTTCCCCTCTACGTAGCATTTACATAACCTTTTGCCCTACAGGAGGAGCCAAATCTAAACCTATTTTGAACTCCCTGCTGTGAATCATTCTGTTAATTGGTCTGTAACATGAAAAGTAGAATGCTGCTGCTGAGAGTGACTGAAGGGTGAAATGAGACTGAGGAGCCTTCCAAGGCTATAAATAATTTCTTGGGAAGGAGATGAACCTGAAGATGTGTTGGCCCAAGAAAAAAAAACTTTGACTGATTATTCAGAGGTCAACAGCCTCATTTTTCTAACTTGCCACTGGTATTTCCAGAATTATTCTCTCTCTGTGTGCCTCCTCCCACCCAATTTTTGTTCCTTGCCAGAGACGTTTCCCATTCCCATTAATTTGGGAGGACAGACTGTCCCTGCAGAGACATTTGTGAGCTCTTGAATTTTGTAGGAGGGAAGCAAGCTCCCATTTGCCCTTTTATCCTTTGTACAAACCTGCTGAAGAGGACACTGAAACCCTTTAGATTTGTGGGCAGCCCTCCCCATTAGACACAGCTTCAACAATACTGTTTTGAAACACCACTGTGCTGTGGTTTTTTTTAACTAGCAAAATGATAATATTGATGACAGGAGAATAATGATAGGAGTGATAACTCAGCAGGATGCTCTACTGATTCTTGCTATTTTATAGTGACCATAAAAAGGGTTGTAGCAATAGTTATCAGTCCTTTGGATTCTGGACTAACACTTGAAAATGCTGACAGAAGGGCTAAAAATCCAAGGCAGGTGAAATTCATTAGTTTACTTTTTTTAGTATTTAAAGTAATTTTACATATTTCGTATAACAGGTTCATTAATCTAAGTTCACATGAATACCACTATTGAGAAGATGTCTACTATACCAAAGTATAATTCATGATGATGGCTGGGAACTGCAGCAAAAATTATTTTCATAGTTCTCTGTGCCTATCATAATTAGCCAAATTAAATGTCTATTATACATTTACAGGCAGTTCAACCCATTTTTTTTAAAAAAATGAAACAATCCTGCAACTGGTAATACTTCTAAAACCTGAAACAACTTTTCAAATGCATCTATTTTATTTAAGAGGTTTTTTTTTAGCAGTCAAAATGGCCACACGTTAAAATCCTCATTAGAACTGATCAATCCTTTGTTTTGTCTGTTACTTATTCCGTTTCTGCATCATTTCACATACAATACACAGAATTATAAACTGGATCTTGAAATAGCTGGAGAAACATTTTGGATTAAACCTATACTCTCCTGAAAAAAAGGTAGCAGGTACAATTAAGTTGACAGAATAAAAAACGTAGTTGAACGCAACTGATCTCTTTCCTATCACTCCGGTATTAGTCCAGGAACTTTATGAAATGTACTCTTGAGTTTGAGAGCTAATCCCAAATAGTGTCCATTCATGAATATTTATACAGCACAGGAGGTCATGAATGGGTGCTGCCCCGACTTGCTGTTAAACTCAATCCACATATTTGCTAAGGTGCATGAACACTCTTTTGATTTAACAAACAGGAAAGGAGCAATATCACAAACTAGGCTGCTGCCAGGCTTCCTCAAGATTGTTCTGATCACTACCTACCTTTATAGGCTTCATTCAAAATTCTTACACTTTGTTTTGCAGGTATCAGTGTGAAATATGCAAGCACCTTGTGGAAACAGCTATAGGGTTGACGTCCCTTTTAAAATCTGTCAGCAAGAAGGGGTTAAATCTTGCTTTTCTCTGTTTATGAACTGCAACGCCACTAGAAACCTTATGTCCTCTGACATTGTACTAGGGCAGAACATTACTGTATGCACTCCTATCAGACATGTCAGCACAACGCTCTGAAGTATTTTGGGACATCCTTGTTAGTTCCTTATGTAACTGTACTACCTCACTTTCTGAAATCATGTCCCAAGGCACATAGCAGGAGGGTAGGTGCAGCTGTGTCCTACTTCACGCCACTTCCAAGAACATTGAGTTTTGGAGCACTAGCAAGGCTCGTAAAAATACAAATCAATATCTTAGAATAGAAATATACATTAAAAAAAAAAAAAACAAAAACCCAAACAGAAAAGAAATTGTGCTCACCTGCTCACCAGCCTGGGATTCCCCTATGATGAATCGATCCCCTGGGCCATCAGCAGCTGTTAAGATGGACAATACAAATGGTAAAGGCTGAACCAAAACAAATGATAGCATCAGAAATTAAGAACAGGGGAACCAAAGAATGATCCAAGGTTCAGTTCTTCAGTGTCAACATTTAGCCAAATCTGTATCTTTACAAAGAGAACAAAGGCACCATTACTAATGAAGTTTAAGCTTCTGCCTGCCTCAAAGGTCTTTCAGCAAGTTGCATTAGTGGTATTACACGCTCTACCCTGGTGTAAAGCATATATGGAGCACAGCACCTCTGCCTGTTGACAGCCAACAAACTGGGTTCATACGATCACATTTAAATACGTCTTTTTATTAATTTTAAATCTGTAACTGTCAAAAGTTGAATTCCCAGAGATGCAGTCTAATCAGTGACAACCTTTCTGTTTTATTTCAAAAGCCCTGACTACACAGCTAGATACCCTTATTGTATTGAGAAGAACTGCTTTCAGGAAGGGTGCCCATTCAGTCTCTATAACAATTTATCACATTTGTACTCATACATCAGCTGCAACTCTGCAGATGATCTATTGTACTTAGTCATGTTTGAAGACTAATGATTAACTTAACTTTAAAAGCCTATCAAACAGCCTAATCTATGAGCTTTAGAACAAACTCTAAAATAAGAAAGCAGAAAAGGACTCTTCAACTACTTGTCTTTGCATAATGCATATACTACTACTGAATACAGTTGTCAGACTTTCACTGAAAAAAATGCACTGGGATGATCCAGCAAAAGAAGAGAAAAAAACTCCCTAACAGCTATATTATTTTAAACCTGACAAAATGCTACTGAATTAGATTTTATTCCCCCATTAATAATGATACGAAGACAAACTTTACAGGTGATGTACAACTGACAGCTTCAAAAAAGTGGACAAGGTTTTGGGCAGACAGCCTTATGTGACTGAAAGCTAATCCTTTATTTTTTTGGTAAAAAATATCCATTAATGCAGTCAATATCATTTCTGCCTACAAGCTTTGCTTCTCATATCCTGAGGTAACAGGTCTACAAGAACAATAAGAATAGAGTAGAGTAGAGTAGAATATTTCAGTTGGAAGGGACCCACAACAATCATCTAGTCCAACTGCCTGACCACTTCAGGGCTGACCAAAAGTTAAAGCAAATAAAGAGCATTGTCCAAATGTTTCTTAAACACTGGCAGGCTTGAGGTATCGACCACCTCTCTGGGAAGCCTGTTCCAGTGTTTGACCACCCTCTCAGGAAAGAGATGCTTCCTAATTTCCAGTCTGAACATCCCTTGGTGCAGCTTTGAACCCTTCCCACCCATCCTGTCACTGGATACCTGGGAGTAGAGCTCAGCACCTCCCTCTCCACATCCCCTCCTCAGGAAGCCGCAGAGAGCCATGAAGTCGCCCCTCAGTTTCCTTTTCTCCAAACTAGACAAACCCAAAGTCCATAGCTGCTCCTTGTAGGACACGCCTTCCAGCCCTTTCACCAGCTCTGTTGCCCTCCTCTGGATGCATTCAAGTACCTTACTGTTACTTTATTTGAATCCACCAGCAAATTAGGGTCTTGTGGGTTGGTTCTGATGGAAGTTGTCGAAGATGGCGTTCGTGATCATTCTGCTCATTCTGCCTGTTTACTGAGATTGTACTTGTGCTTTCCCTTACCTTGTAGCAATCAGGTTGCAAGACAGCGTTTGCTTGATCCCAAGGTCCCTGTCAGTCAGTGTTCAACTCAGAGCTCCCCCTCTCTATTACCAGTATTTTTCTGGCTACATCTGCAATCCCTTGCTGCTATTACTGGTCATTTTGGTCTGACTGTTGCTCACACACATAGATGTCAGACAGCTGCAGTCAAACTCATCTAGTAGACCTGGATTTTACTTTTATATCAAACCCACGGGGAAGCTATTGGACTACATCCATTCCCTGGGTTTGCAGTCTATTTCATGGACGGTTTCTTTCCATTGTTTCAGCTGCCAGTAACAAAAAAGATATTTTAATGTTCCTAGAAAAAAGTTGGCTATTGTGTTCAAATTTGAACATGGTGTTATGATGATTCAACCCCTACTGCAATGCAATCACTACTAGTATGATGTTCAGTCATATATATTTTAGCTTTCCTCCATAGATATCTGAGGTGATCACTAGTCTTGCTTTACAAATGGAAAAAAATATTGCACAAAGCAACTTGCTCAAAATCATGCAGCACCTAGCGGCAAAGCAGAGGATGGATTCGGGTCTCCTGGGAAACCACCCACTACTTGCTCTGTGAAGTCACACTACTCATTTTATTTATATACAGCAACTGCAATATTTTCAAAATAAAAATTAGTTTTTCTTTTGAGTTGCCTCCATAAGAGTATATTCTGACACGTATTTTTGAAAATTCTCTAATGCATTCATAAAATAATTCACAAATAGGAAGCTGGATCTGTGACAATTCAACAAAGTAACAGATATGTCAGACATTCCTGACTAGTCAACAATAGAGGAATAGAAGAAGAACCTGTCATTCAGAAACAGGTGTTCTGTTACTCTCCTGAATTCTTTATGTTTCCAAGAAACTCACTAGCAACACAAGTGCATGTCTATGAGGACACATGGACGTACATTTGCTTGTGTACATACGTGTCCTCTTAAAAGATCTGAATTTAACTTTATGGTCTTCCTTCAAGACAGCTGTATTCTACGTAATTGTGACTTCAGCAATGATCTGAATCAAATCTCAACCAAAATAATCATTGCTGGATCTAAAATAGGTGAACTAACATGTTCTAAAGTTGTTTTACAGACACTATGCTGCATGTCTACAAAGTGAGTGTTTACCTCTGACAGCGTAGCCGTCTTTTACTGATGCTGGAAATGGTGGTAGATTATCTTTTGCATATACATCTTGAGCAAGGACTCGGCCCATTCCATCTAGAAAAGAGAAAAGACCACGCTCCATGTCATTAGAGCTACTGAACGGGAAAAAAAAAGCAGTGTGCTTTGATGGATAAAATGTATGTGTATGTGACATGAATAGATCTCAGGTTTTTGATTTCTGCCTCTACATAAATGAAAAAAGACTGGAGTCTGAAAGTACTGATGAAAGATTTGTTCAGTAAGTCTGTTCCTGGTTATGGTGAAATTGTTGACGGTAGGTCTGAATGCCAAGCATCCATACCCAGAGGTTATAGCTCTGAGATAGGATCACACAGAAAAAAACAAGTATTTCTCTCTTCAGGACAAGTTTTTCTCCTGAAATCTCTTAAAAATACATACTTTTCTATATTTCAATTTTTTTAAAAAAAGTTCTTGTTTTTTTAAAAGCTTTTAAAATAACATTTCAAAAGTGAATCCTGTGTGCAAAAGGTGATGGATTGAGCCCAGAGGACTCAACATAAACAGTAATGATGGGCAAGTTTCCATAAATTGACAAAGAAGTTTTGCAATAGATTAGCTCTGCCTAATTGTTGAGACCATTTCTGCTTAATGGAGGGTGAGTACACATAAGTGTCAGGATTATTTATGTAAATTTACGCTATTATAGTTCTAAATATTTTAATAGCTGTTTCAAACATACTCTTTCCCTTCACTTAGCAACTATGACTGATGAGTTGTAATTTGGCTCTGCCTCCCTGTAGAGACTGATACGAATTACTTCACCCTCAGTCAAGTGTGCACTACTTGTTTGCTTTTACAGCACCAGCAAGAGGTGGTTCTTTTAGTATGATGTGGAACAGGGTGGAAAATATGTATCTTATTCCTTCATACAGTGGGAGAGTGAGAAAGAAGATTTATTTTATGTGTGAGTAGATGGACTAGGAAGTGGCACATGGGTCAGAACTACTGAGATCGGCTTCATTCCAGTATGTCCATGTAGAAGAAGGGAAGTTCATCTCATAATAGAGGCCACTGCTCTTAGGAGTGCTTTGTGGCACAGGAAGGCAATATCTAGCTGAAATTGTGAACGAATGAGAGGATGCACGAATACTTCTGCAGGAGAATCTGTGTGGATATGTACTATGTAGATTACGATCCTTCAGATGTGCCAAAAAAGAGAGACATACATAAAGTGCGTTTCTTGTTTTACAGATAGGGAAATCCATGTGGTTCTGGATTTACTGGGAAGGCAGAAGACCTAACATTGCACACTAAATGGATAGGTTTTGTTAAAAAGTGCAACTACTCGATTTGAAAGTGTTCACTCTGGTGAAGTGGCATTATAAGGGAGATTATATTTTATCTATTAACACAAAATGATTTAGTTAGTAATTCATTATAATTATAATAACTATAACGTCATTGCGCTCACATCCATATGTATCAACTTTCAGCCTGAGGTGAATATATATGTTGCATTTTTGAAATAGGTATTGCCATGAAAATGCTGAGAAAACCTGTGAAAGCAACTAGAAAAGCACCTTTGTGATGGCCATTAATGCGCCTGTGCATCACTGCTTATCACTGCCCATGATACACAATATAGAAGTTATTACAAAGCTCACGAAAGCTTGTACACTTGCACTGAAAGAAAGAATGCAGGCACAGACATTTAAATTATAGCATAGAAAAAGGCAGCTATCAAAGGCCTAGTAAAAACACCCTCTGTTCATAGATGCACAAAATCTCATACAAAAGTGATGCTTCTAATTTTAGCAGGCATGTTGTGTCTTCATTTTACTTCTTGTCTGCATGCAAAATCACACCAATTAGAGCAAAGTTGAACAGTATGTTCCTGGCATTCTGCCATGCAATATTTGAAGGGAACAAATGGCCATCGAGTAGCGGGAATGAATTTAATTAAGGGGAGAAAAATGTAAGAATTATTTGCTGAAGCCTTAGGCATCTAAAATGAAGCAAGCCAGCAACTAAAGGACCATCTGAAGTACCTCTGTACCCTCCTTTATTTGAGCAATTATTTTAGAAATACACTGTTTAACCTTATTTTGATTAATTGTAATTAAAAAAAGATGTTCTGAAATATTTTAATGTCATCAAACTGCCCCTTGTGATGCCCATAGTTTTCTGATTCTAACACAAAATGGAGAATTACATTAAACTCACTTTTCAAATCTGGGTATTTTCTGAAGCTTAGCAGGTGAAACTGGTAGAGTTCTGTGAAGAATTTTGATTTCTCAGGGTACTGGTACTGGGATAAAGCAGTGAGACAGGTATTGTACTAGAGGTGATGGATTTGCTCCCATTTGGTAAATATTGCCCTTGCAGCACTTCAGTGTCATATGAAAAGGCAACGCTATCAAAATAACCAGCTAGTTCAAAATGAATACACAGTGGGAAAAAAGGTCCAAGCTCTACAGAACTTACAGGGCTCTTGGACTAGTTTAGAAAAACTCCTCCGTTCTGAGGCTTAAGCCCATAAAGCGTGGATTGCCTCTGCTTTGTACTTTTAGTATCAATTAAACTTTTGCCTCTTCTTAATTTCAGAAGAATAATCATTATCATGCTGTCTAAAAACTTAATCTTATCTACCGATGGAGCAATATTCAGGTAACTGCATTTAGCTGGAATGAAAGGCTCACTGGGGGCTTCATACCAGATATTGATGATGGCAGGTGGGAAATATGCTTCAGGTGCCCTTGGTTTATGGCACTTCTGTAAAATGTTTTAAGACGGTCCTTTTTTTTTTCCTCTTAATATGGAAGAGGCTAAATGATCTATACAGGCACTGAGCAATACATTTACCAATGTGAAAGCCATGTTTCATAAAGTAACTTTACTCATCCTCCCCCTTATGTTAGGAGAGAATAGATTTGCGCGACTACAACATGCCTTGACTTAATCAAGAATGAAGTCAGGAAGAACAAAGTCTGTACTGGCTACTTGTACAGAGTAACATTCAGCAGCTTTATTTATGAGGATGAATACTATGTAATATGTTTAGTAATGCTGATGATCTTACCATGTATCTAACGCTTTTATTTTTGGTGGGAGGGAAGAGGGTCATAACTGCAGTGTCTCAGCAGACTCAGAACATTATTTTTTAAAGAATAACAAGTGCCAGGAATCATAATCAATATGTTCCAGACTTAGAATCAGCCTGAATTTGATGTCAGTAATCAGGTAACATGAAGAGCAAAATGAAATATCAACTAAGATATTATAAAGTATACTAGAATACCTTCTCTTACTTTGACAACATATTCCCATGTAGTGGAATAAGAACAGAAACAATTAAATTGCCTTTCTGACAAATTAGAGTATATAAAACTCTATAGAGAACATAAGCATCTAGGTAAGACCAATTACTTCCGTTCTATCTCTCTAAGGACATTTTGAAGAGCATGTAGTCTGAACAGAATCATTCTGTTATTCGTATGGTAACATTATCAGTATTAACAGAAATCTGTTATTTAGTCCATATTTTGAAGGTTTTTTAATATTAAAATAAATTACATGGTAAAAGCTTGTCCAAAGCATATTGCAGCAGGAAATTATATATATTGTGATTTTGTCTGATTTAACCATAGCTCTAATGAAGATGTTTCTAAATCAGATACATGAAAAAGCTGCTACCTATAGTTGATATAAATGTTTGCACAAAGACTGCTGTATACGTACGGTGACATTATTGTTATATATATATATATAAAACATACAGGTAGCATGTGAGGATTATGCTTATTCTCTGCCTACCTGCTCATCGTATTGTCCACAAAGGGCTGTCTTAGCAAAGATGTTAAACTGACAGCTATCCAAAAAGATCTAATAGCCATGCTCAGGCATTTATGCCTTAATGCCGCCTTCTAATCTGCACACTGTTATGAAAGCGCAGGGTGTAGTATGCATATTCCTTGTTGAGCCAGTATTGGTGCTGTTCCAAATGCAGGATATGCAGCATCTTCTCAAGGAACTGCTTCCTGCTACCAAGGCACAGGGG